TTGAGATAACCATTAAGATTCTACATTCTTCTATCTCTACAGGGTAAGTAGATACATAGCTTGTAGGAGGTGATAGTGCACGTAATTTTGGACATATTTCTTTAATAGACCATATTCCGAAAACTCTTAGTCATTCTCGGTCAGTCTTAAACATTTTTTAATGTTGCGGAAACCCCTGGGACTATTTTAATGAAGTTTTATACACTCAGACACTTAACTTAGATAAAAATTTTGTTTCGGTACAGGCACGTCTGTAGACAATTTGAATTAGAAAATCTTTACGCCCCCGATTTTTCAAACAATAAACATCTTGAGTCAAATGCCTGTTCACTGTGGAAGAGAAAAGGTCTCTTGACTTTCCTTCTACAACGCACCGTGTTTGAGTAAAAAAAAAATAAAATCGATTTATCGCCCAGCCTAATCACAATAATTGTAATTAATAACAAAACCCGATTAAGCTGTGCAATAAATAGATTTGAATTTATTTACTCGAAGACGGGGCGTCGTAGAAAAAAGTCTTTTCGCTTCCAAATTGAGCAGGAACTTGAAGCACCAGGTTTATTGCTGGAAAAATCAGTAGCGCAACATTTTTTTTAATTTAAAATTATCTGCAGTCGTGCTTGTGCCCACGCGACTAGAAAAGCTAGAAACAATTTTTTTAATTCAAACTTTAACACCCTGTAGTTAGGAAACTAAGCGTTTTCGGAGCACTATCACCCCCTGCAAGAAATAGATCTACTTACCAAACACCCCGTATATCTACTACCTTTAACTTGTCCCCTCGTTGCTTGAGAGCCCTTTGAGTCTTCACCAATTCGTCTTGAATCCCCGGCCCCGGTTGCTTGGCCAAAACTTGCCGCAAATTCAAATACAACCGTTCCGCTTCTTTCAACTGTCTTTCGCGTTCTACTGCTTCGGAGGCCTGACGCAGCAGTCTTCTACAATATTCCGGTTTTCAACAGATCAGGGGTTTGAAGCAACAGCCTACTTCTGCAGGAGCTTAATCTTCTGCAACAGCTCGACCACCTCTGGATCAGAGCCTTCCAGCTTCCGCCAGCGGTGGATGTTCAGCGGATTTTGAACCTCCTGTTCCAGGGCTTTGCGCTGCAGTCGCGACTTGGTCAGTTCGCGTTCCAAGTGGAAGATTTCTTGCCTCAAATCGACCATGTTGTTCATCGACTTTGATATCAGCAGCTTCTCTTGCCGCAGGCGTTTCACTTCGATTTTCAGCAGCTTGATGTCTTGAAGTCTCTGGTCGTACTGCGTTTCGCCTGTGGAAAGCAACACTCATGCTATTTTTACAAGTCTAACACTTCGACCAAAATAACCCACAATACCTCTACATAGGGTTGAGTGTAGGATCTTGATTTTTTCGTTCAACAAGGCGATTTCATCATTCCTTCGCACCAGTTGGGACCCAAGCACATCCCTTTCGTTCATTAGTTGCTCCATGTCTTTAACCTGCCCTCTAATGGTTCTTTCATGCTCCAGGATGGTTTGGTGCAACCGTTTCTCCTCGTCCTTTTGCTCTTTGATTTCCTGCTTCAGGGTGCGGATCTGGTCTAAGCCGGCCATCACTTCAATCCTGCAATGTAACTTAATTTACAAAGCAAAGCCTGCAGTTTTAAATGAATGGCGTACTTAAGATTGTCCTTTTCTTTGGTGATCTTCCGCATCACATTCTCATCTTTGATCAGCAGTTTTTCCTTCATGGCAATGTCCTCCTTGAGTTGTTCAGTTTGATGGAAAACGATTTTTAGCTTCTTTTTCAATTCGCCAGTCTCTGCCATGGATTCTTGTAGGGACTTTTGCAGGGAATTGCGATCGGCGCGAATCGCCTCGTAGATATTCTGCTGCTGCCTTACTTGGTTTTCGTACTCCGTGATGTTTTTTTTCAAATCAAATATATGGCCCTAAAGACATAAGCATGCTACACCTAAATGAAATTCAATAGTTTTCCATTCACCTTTTTCTCTCGAATATCATCCATGTTATCTTCGATGGTCTTCGTCAGCTCCAGCTGCTCTTCGGCCAGTTTGTCGCGCTCCCTTTCCAGCTGATGAATCTGCTTCTTCTGCTTGCTGCTTTCGATGAAAAATGAGTCGAGCTCAACTTCCAATTTCTTCTTGCTTTGATCTTGAATTTGGATCAGCTTCAGCTGATCGCGCGCCACTACTTGCTGCCGCTGAATTGTTTTGTTGAGGACATCTTTTTCTTTATTGACTGTTTCAATTGCGCGTTTGTCTTCATCGGAGAATCGCTTATGGTCGTCGATCTCCCGTTCGAGAAGGGCGAGTCTTTGGCGCATGTTGGCTTTGTCCACTTGGAGGTCGTCCCTTTCTCCATTTACTACTAGAACGCGTTTTTCTGCGGTTTCCTTGGCTTTTGTGAGTTTGGTGATGTCGTTCTTCAAGCGGGTGTTTTCGTCTTCATGCAACTAAGAAGGCAGGGGATTTGGTGGAACAGGGGGTTTTAATCTGGAAGGTTTTCTTACCTTGATGTCCCCCAGTTTTTCCTGGTACATTTTCTTCGATCGGTCCAGCTCGTAAAGAGTCGCATTGTAATCCTCTTGAACTTTGCCGAGTTTGGCCACATTTTGCTCGTTTTCTTTCAACAGTTTTTCACTGTTTGCCTTGTGGTCCTTCAGCTCATTTTCCAGCCTGGCGGTTTTCTTCACATGCTCAGCTATTACGCCTGTTAGATTATGAATGCTGATCTCTTTGTCCTCCAGGCTGATTCTCAGCTCCATCAGATCGGACTCGAGTTTGTCTTTGGCTCGCTTCGCTCGCAGAATTTCCGATGCTTGATCCTGAGACACGGATTTGAGGCCTTGTGAGCGGTTGCTCGATGAAGCGGGTTTTATATAGGTACCTCCAATTGTCCAGCGATTTCGTTGATTCGCAGGTCCGCCTCAGAGTTTTTCTTCTCCAGCTCCTCTTGGTAGTTGACGGCGTTGTTTAATTTGGTCGTGAGCTGCGTGACTTCGTTTATCAGCTTGTCCCGCTCCCTTTCCAGTCCATCCTTGTGCTTGCTCAATTCTCCCACACTAAAATTCAACGTGGTTTTATGCTACATACAGCAGCGTTCGGCTAGGTTTACTCGTCAGAGTCTTGATTCATTTTATTTTTGAATTCGATCTCGGCATTGAGATTTTCAACTTGCGCCCGCAAGTTGTCGATGATCTCTTGCGCAAGTTGCTCTCGGGCATGAGCCGCGTCTGCTAACTTCCACGCCTTGTCGATTTCGGTCTTCAGAGTGTCGATGGTTTCTTTGTCCTCATCAGCCAGCTTCAGCGCCAGTTCCAGCTGGGACTTCTTCATGTTCAGACTTTTTTCGTACTCGGCGTTGGTCTGTTCAGCGTCCCTCTGCTTGTTGTAGGTGTTGAAGTAGGCTTCGAACAGTCGGTTGAAGTCGTCAGCAAACTGAGCTGCTTCGAGGTTTTGCTCTATTTCCGCTACAGTCTGAGGGTGGGTTTTGAGTTATATTGAGCGGTGGAGATGTTTGAATGTACCTTGTTATAGTCTCTTTCAATAAGAGCAAAAGCGTGGTCAGGATTGTTCGGGTCCAGCTCGTCCTCTTGTCCGGACTCGCCCTCATCTTGATTGTCGCTGAAGTCGCTGTCCTCCATTTCGGATCTTGTTAAATTACCAACAGAATCGAGGTTTGATTGGCGTAGTTCACATAAGTCAAACCCGCGTTTGGAGGTGATTTATTGATCAATCAACAACCAGGTTTCCACGTTGGCTTCTTTGGTGAATCAACTGCGTTCGCAAATTAAGCTTGGGAATAAAACGAAACGTGAAACATGGACAGGGAAAAACTGATGTAAAAAATTCATTTATTGGATATGATAATCCCGTAAACCATTGAAAAGAAAATATACAGTTATCACAAAATAGTTCAGTGCACTATACAGCAAAAAAGTCAAATTGTATGGAACGAGCGGGTCGTAGAAAGTAAAGGTTTGGCTAAACAAGTACAAATAATGTCACTAGTGTGATTTTTCCGGCTTTGATCTACTCGCTAACGCTATATAGTATTTAAGGCAAAATCTGAAATGCTAGTTTAGTTAAATTTCCATATTAGTCTATAACCGTTTTATATAAAAATATTTCCTATATCCGCTACGGGCAATTATCATGAATGCAAGTAACAATTCTATACAATCTGCAGTATCTATTAGCTAATTCAGGTTAAAAACAACAACAGATCCTAGAAATATCGGAATTAAGCTGAAAAAGGACGCGAGTACGGGATTGAGCAATAAATCAGTGAACTTTTTAAAATGATTAATAAAAATATTTTGATACTGTCAAGGTGAATGGTAGCAAGACCAAGTTAGGGGGGTTTCAACCACATAAAATGGAAGCAGTTTCCAGTCCCTTTAACAGTCACTACTTAACTAAAAATACTTTCGTCAAAAGCTTACAGCCTACGAATAAAATGAGAAAATTATGCTTTAACCATCTTATTCAATCGCTTTCCATTCAATTACTTGAATGAGAATTTATTAGTTCAGCTGTTGCTTAAAAAACCTAAAAAATAACGCCATTTTCCTTCAGTGATTTAAAGCCACAAACAAAATAAAGTATCAAACTAAAAGAGGATAAAATAACTAAGTTAAAACTCTCACAACTCATAAGTACCGTGCCTGCATGCTCTGGTTTAGACAAAATCGAAATAAATTTTCATGTTAAGCTCAATAGACTATTTTTCACAAACTTCTTTTTGGGTATTTCGCCTCAAAAATTTTTGTCGTTAAAAAAGACAGAATTTTCTCACGCCTTTTATTACAGGTTGATGAATAGTGCTCCTATTTCGCATTAAGAACGAATTATTTATTGAAAAGTAATCAAGAACTATCACCTAGAGGGTATCCTGCGACACTCTTAGGCTCAAGCTGTAAGAGAAAATTCCAATTAGTAGAGAAATTAATTTGAAAAATTACCTTCACGTTTCGATAGCTATTTTCTGCTATCGTTATCCAAGGAAGCTAAATGAACCTAAAAAAGAGTATGTTAATAAATTGTGTAATAATAGTAGGATAATATAGTATATGAAAATTCGCTCTGATGTTATGTGACTTTGATTTAATCTCATTGTTTAAATTAGTAAAGGTAATGTTAATTGATAATTTTGGTGTAAGTTTAATTTGGGTGTATGTTTCTCTGGTCTACTTCAGATTTTAATATTAATTTGATTTAATATTAGGACTATCTTCAAAACTGAAAATACAATTAGAAGTAAAATTTCAGTAACAAAACCTCATGATATAAGTGAAAATACAAAAAATGTAATTTATAAAATTCCTTGCGAATGCAATAAATTTTATAGAGGAGAAACCTCAAGACCATTACACAAAAGACTCAAAGAACACCAATCATACATAAAAAACAGA